TTATTTGGTGAAAAAGAATAGACAACTTTAATGTCATCTGCAAAGAGGAAGGGGGTCCCACAAATAATGGATTTTGAGACATCATTTATATACATAAGAAATAATAGGGGGCCTAATACACTGCCTTGTATTACGCCACTGGTAACGGGTTGGGGTTGGGAGGAACAATCATTAACTGACACTACCTGGGAGCGTTCAGATAAGTATGAAGAAAGCCATGAGAGAAGCGGGTCACCTATTCCATAAGATCGGGCTTTGGCAATGAGCCGTGTGTGGGAGACCCGGTCAAAAGCTTTTGTCATATCAAGATAGACTACAACGTAGGCTTTGCCGGTGTCCGTAGTTTTAGTAAGAAGGTTTAAGAAATCAAATTGGCATGTTTGGCAAGAGCGAAATTTAAGAAAGCCGTGTTGGCTCTTGCTAAGTAGGTTTGCAGTAAGAAGGTAGTGAGATAGTTGTTGTTTAACAATCTTTTCCATTATTCTGGAGATAATAGGTAAGTGATTTATGGGGCGGTAGTTGGTGGGGTCCTGAATCGGCCCGTTTTTGTGAAGTGGGATAATGGTAGATTGTTTCCATTGAGATGGTACAATACCACCAATCATAGACAGGGTAAATAACTTCAACAGTATCACAGGCATATCAGGTCCAGCAAAGCGTATTATACTTGGGGGTAGTCCATCCGGTCCTGGCCGAGAGGAAGGCTTAGTTACATTTAGAATGCCAGAAATACCTTTAATGGTAAAGTGAATGACATTTAAAGATTCAGCAGTGGACAATGGCATGTTAGTGGTAGTGTGAAAAGAATCAGTGGTAAACGAAGAGGTAAAGACGGAATTTAGGACTTCACAGATTTCCTGTGGGGAGGTGAGGGCGACGTTTCCAGGAAGGTTTAGGTGAGAAATGGAGTGACTGACAACTTTATTTCGCGTCTTATTTAGCTTGGAGATTTTCCAAGATGGGTTTGGGTGGGACAGAGCTTTAAGCTCCTGGTTATTAAGCAAAGATATGTTTTTTTGTTGTATTGTCCGCGAAAGAGAATGCAACTGCATGAGAAGGGAGAAGTCGTGGGAAGTTTGATATAGCCTGTTTATTTTATTGAATTTCTTACGTAGTCTATCCAGTTGGGAGGGAGGGCGACTGGTGGGTAAAGTATGAAAGGGTAGCGAGTTGAGGCAGTTGGAGAGGTTTTGGTAAAATAAATCTGCAGCAGATTGGGGGTTGGTGGAAAGAAAGAAATTGGTCCAATCTTGGGAGCGAATCAAGTTGGGTAAAGAAGACCAATCGTTTATGAACTGAGGAGCATTAGCTGAAGCAGTAACCATAGTTGGGGATGGCTCAAGTAAAAAGGTACATTGAACCATTTTGTGGTCACTGCCTGGGAAATGGTTTAAGATAGATGTTTGCGAGACAGTGAGGCATTTTGTGAAGACTAAGTCCAGAACATGGTTTCCCCTGGTGGGGGATTTCACATGCTGCGTCCAACCACCAGCATTGAGATTAGAAAGGAAAGGAAGAAATTTGTGGTGTGCTGTCAAGGAAGACCAGCATATACCAGGGGCGTTAAAATCCCCTGCGATAAGCTTGGGTCCAGGTGATAGGTCTGATAAATGGTTGAAGGATTCAGAGATATGAGAAAGGTCGTAGGGGTTTGAGGGAGGACGATATATACAACCAAGCAATAACCTTATGTTGTGGAATGCAATAGTTAGCCAAAGCGATTCCTGAACTTTGTCGAGGTTGGGATCATTTAGTAGAGTCGCCTGTAGAGGAGCTTTGACATAAACTAAGCATCCACCCCCGCGGCGATTCCGTCGGTTTTTACTAAAGAGTTTGTATCCGATCAAGGACATAAGGTCTATGGAAGAGTCGTCCTGCAGCCACGTTTCGGTAGCCATAATGATATCAAAAGAGCCGGAGTACGCTATATTTTTTAAGGATCCAAATTTATTAACAATGGAGCGAGAGTTAATTAACAAAATAGAAAAACTACAAGTGTTTTGGGGGATGGGATAGCTAGAAAGTTTATATAATGCCGATGGGTTTGTACTCTGTTGATTGAGAGAACGGCGTCAATAGGGAACTGAGGCAGAATTAAAGGAATTTGCTTGAGCAGTGCTTACAGACGGAAAGCTGTTGTTGTAGCAAGGTGTGTGTGGTTCATTGGAGGGGGGGAAGTGGGCTGAGAT